CAGATCTAATCAAAGCTATACTCCCCTCTTATGATTTCCCAATCACAGTTAAGGCACAAATTCAGCTCACTTGAATAAACAAAGAAATAATCATTAGATCCATTCAACATCAACTAACATTTCAATATTTAACAACTCAACAATTTCAGCCAACAAATCATAATCTCATAGAGTTATAAATGGATTCGAGTTCAGATTTATAGAGGAACGTAAATATTCTTCAACAAAGTAAAACAGAGTAATGAGAGTAAGAAAAACTAAGGTGAAGATAGGAGAATCAGAATCCCCCTTTTCCAAGGTTTTTTTCTAAATGCTTCCTTCATCAGCAATGGACCTTCCTTTACGTTCAACACCCTGTGACGTTTCCTTCTTCTTCTTTCCAGTACTAGAGCTGGTACTTGATCAGAGAAATGGAGGTGGTTTCCTTTTCTAAGTTCAGCCGCCTCTACATTACAAAATATGACCAAGGACGCCTTCTTTCTTCTCAGCTGCAGGTACTTATTGTACCTTAATTCCACATGGCAGCACATGAGAAAGTCTCCAATGAGTGGTTCAATCAGCACCCTTCACGGAAAAAATCAGCCCATTAACCAGCTCAGGTCCAGCTGTCAGCAGTCTGGCCCAGCTTGTCTTGCTGCAGCAATGCACAGCAATACTGACTAGGATTCCTTCATACTACAAAAATGAAAAGCTGCTCAAAGCTCCAAACGACCACGTTTTCTTAAAGCTGAGATTAACCACAAAGCGCACCTGAATTAGCTCTTTTTAAATGCTAATCACGAGAGAGAGAATTTATGAATCACAAATAACTAAAAATAATTAACAAGACAAAATATAGGAGAACACTAATACTAATTACCCTCTAGGTAATAATTTAAGCCTGGGAAATGCTCAATTAACTCTATTTTCATAGAGTTATCACTCGCTTTCAGAGACGTGTAAGCCGCATGACAACTTAAGTCGGATTTCCTCACCCATACCTTACGTGTACTTCTGTTATCTCTATTAATCTTCCTCCTTGGTGTCTGTCTTGCAACATTTGGCGAATTTAGATGCATACCTCATTTTAAGGCATTCAGGTACTTGTAACATCGTGGCCGGATGTGTCCTGGAAAGCTACAATAGTAGCAAATGGGAATGAATGTTTTTTGTCGTGAGCGAGCATGGATAATGGTCTTGGAGTGAGGAATTTTTGTTTTAGCCTGAGTCTTTTCTTTGACAAAGGCTGACTTGGATGACTGACATTCTCCACTGTAGCCTAGTCCAAAGTGGTCATGACTGGATTTTCCCATAGACAAGATGTGATCTAATTTCACAGTACCGGTATTCATCATCTTCAAGGTCTTCTGAGTACGTTCTAACTCTTCATTAGCTTTATGCAGTCTTTTTCTCATTTCAGCAATCTTGGACTCGTGCCTCATTTTTAGATCTTCCTTTTCTTGTTCAGCATCCGCCAATTTCTTCTCAAGTGACTTGTTCAACTTGACCACCTGAATCTATTTGTTGAACATTGATTTATAAGCCTCCTGAATAGTCTCTTGTGTCAGTTCTTCATCATTGCTGAAACTTTCTGAATAAGAGAGATCTCTGCTTTCTTCAGGTTTTCCTTCTTGTATTACAGTTGATGTTTCAACATCGTTTGTGACACGATCTGCGACACTGTTGTTGGGAACATCCTAATATACATTGAAAGCAACATGATTGTTCACATGATCTTCATTTTTCTGGCTGCCATCAGATTCTTCATTGCTCCATGTCACGTTGAATGTCTTCTTCTTCTTCTTAAGGGTATTTGCACATTCCGATTGGATGTGTCCATATCCATCACACTCTCGATACTGGATGCCTCAGTTTCGTGTCTTGGCTTCAGAGTTGCTTGCAGCATCTGTATTCTTTTGGAAGTTGTTAAATTTTCCAAAATTTAGAGTGAAACCCTTGCCTTTAACTCTTTTCAGAATGCGATTGAAATTCTTTGTCAAAAGAGCAAATGATTCTACCAACACTTGTGGATCTCTTGTATCTTCTTCCACTATTGGTTTATGCAGTTCTACTTGAAAGGTAGTTTCTTTCTGCTGCTTGTTCTGGTCCAGATTCATTTCAAATGTTCTAAATGATCCCATCAACTCATCAAGTCTCATAGTTTGAATGTGTTTTGCCTCCTCAATAGCAGTGACTTTGTAAGCAAATCTCTGTGGGAGTGATCTCAGAGTCTTGCTGACAAGTTTTGCCTCGGAGATTTTTTCACCAAGAGCAAAAGATTCATTAGTTATATCACATAATCGTGAATTAAATTCAGAAATAGTTTCAATTTCATGCATTCGAAGAGTTTCAAACCTGGTTGTGAGCATATTCAATTTTGATTGTCTGACCGCGGCTGTTCCTTCATGAGCCACCTCCAAAATCTCCCATGCTTCTTTTGCTGATTCACACGTGGATATCATCTTGAACTGATTAACATCAACTCCATTGAATATTGCATTAAGTGCACGTGAGTTGTAGTTGGACAACCTGTCTTCATCAGTGCTCCATGACTCTTCAAGCTTGAGAATCTCTTTTCCTTCTGCATCCTTTGTTTCTATATGCTTCCATCCGATCAGCATTGTACGCCATGCTCTTTCATCTTGAGCCTTGATGAAAACCTTCATCCGAGCCTTCCAATAAGAATAATTTGAGCCATCAAGCAGAGGTGGACGCGATACTGATCCTCCTTCCTTCAGCAGGTCCATCTTAGACGTAGCAGATCAATTTATCTAAGATCTCACCGAACTTCTGGTCAGTGAACGGCTCACCGAACTTCTGGTTAGTGAACCTCTCTGATACCACTTGTTAGATCTTAATGTTACGCCTGATGTCCCAGATGACGTTGGAACACTGTCTGGGACACTAATTACTCAGTTTACTCTACCGATTAAATTAAACAACGAAGGAAACCAATAGTGCAGAAAATAAATGAACACACAATATGGTATCGTAGTTCGGTGCGCACACCTACTCTGCGGGGCCACGCTCAGACAGTAAACAGTTTCACTATGTTATAAGAATTACAACCCTGACGGACTTAATCACTTAAGGACTCCCTCCTAGACTATGACGCCGCTGTGATAAACTCCCACAATGACACTGTTTAGCGTGTACCATTTCACTACTGAACTCCCTTCAGTTAATCAAACTTTCAACATGAAACACAAAATCACATATTGTTCTACTTAATCACTATCTCTCTGTCACTAGACTTTTCTGTGGTCAACACTCTATCTTTTTCTGTAAAGCCTCTTTCCATATCAAACCATTCCACATATCTATGACTTTTGAACCTCTAACTGTTACCAAAAAATCCTCCTCAGCATTATCTACAGCATCTCACTCTTTGAGTTTTTTAATTCCAAAACTCACGTATTCACCTTTTCAAAATTCAATGAATCAAATCTTCTCAGGAGATGAAACCAATAGCTGATAAAAGATGACCTCATGATCCGTATTAGCTTTGCCTTATCCGATTTACCACAAGCTAATCTCCAAGTCAACAAATCTGATATTTCTGCACAAAATCTGATTATTCTTCAAAACAAACAGCCATCTGGATAATGTCTTCTAGAACTTAATTTTTGAATCTGTACAACCAAAAACTGTTTTGCCAACACAGCTAATTAACAAAAAAACAAAAACCTAAGAGAATCTGAATTCCATCATTAAATACTTTCTTCCTCCGCCCCAAAAAAGAAAACGTACGGCACCTACTTGTTTTCTTCTCTAAAATATCTTTCAGACTCGTTGACTTGAGGAACGAAATTAAATAGAAGAAAAAACTCAATTACATATATCTTCCGATCTCTATACAAGGTATGTTTTGTTAATGGGCATATAATTATAAAGCGTTGACCAAAAAAAAAAAAAAGTTTTGGGATCTCAAGGGAGAAGATGAAGATCGGCCATTTGAAGGTTATGCTTCTGGCTTTGATTGTGTTGGTGTTAGGGAATAGTGGTGGTAAAGCTAATGGATCAGTTTCTTCGTTTACCTTGAAAAAGATTAGTGGAATAAATGAGAAGGGTCCATATTTGGGTATTGTGATTCCAAACGCATTTGAGTTGGACCCTCTTTTGCAATCTTCAAGTTTTGTTGCTGATCCACACCATCCATTCGTGGATTTTTCAGGTACACATATTTATATATATATATATATTTATATCTTATTATATTTTTACAATTACACGTACAATTTCATGTTGTTCTCATGATCATCATACAAAAGATCAAAATAGTATCGAAATATGTATATAATATTATTCTTGCATCACTAATTTCGAAACTTTTTTACTTGTTCACTTTTCCAGTTGACCAAGTATATGGTACTATTTTGCTTTGTTAATGTGCTCTCTATTACTTCTAAGGATACAATCAAGAATTTGTTATTTCTGATCACAATATGTATCTATATATAAATTTATATATCTATATATTAAAAGTGGAATTCAAATTAGTTTGCTGAAATAAAGTCTTCATAAAAAATTAACCAGTAAAAGAAAGTCTGTATATAATTTATTGAATTTCATTCCTCTCTTGCAATATTTTTGACATTTTGATTCAACAGGAAGAAGGTTTCGCATTGGCAAGTTGGAAAGACAAAAGGTTATACTTGTTATGACAGGATTAAGCATGGTATATAATCATGTGTGCATTTGAATATATATTCCTAATTTTTGTTGATTTTCCCTTTTGAATATTCGTCGCAATTATCATTGAATAATAATTCTTTTTTTTTTTTTAAAACTCTATAACTAGCTTAATGCAGGTATAGCTACACAACTATTGGTAACTCTATTCAAAGTGAAAGGTGTTGTCCACTATGGAATTGCAGGAAATGCAAATCCTAAACTGCAAATAGGTGATGTAACTATTCCAGAGTATTGGGCACATACTGGCCTCTGGAATTGGCAGGTAAAACAATTTCTACAAAATATCCTAACAAAACAAACAAGGAGAATTTCTTGTTCAGTAAGGTCAAAAAAAAAAAAAAAAAAAAAAAACTACTAATAGACTCAATTCTGAACTATTAGATTTTTATCAGGTTATATTAAATTGTTTTATTTTCTATCCCTTTTTTTTTTTTTTTTTGTCTCATACACTGCCATGGAATTACAAATAAACCTCATGTAAGAACCTTATTCATCTAAGTAGAATAACAAAAAAAAAAAAAAAAAAAGAAAACCAGTAGGGGATTGTAAACCCTTAAGGGCTTTTTTTTTTTTTTTTGCGTACTCTACCGTAAGACTCTCTAAATAAAAAAAGAAAAAGAAAGATTTCTGTATATCATAACAATTTACTACTGAACCTTTGATTAATACTTATTGAGGGGACCGGTCTAGCATATTAATTTCTACTTGTTTTGTTTGACCGTTAATATTGATCTCCTTTTGATAGATTATAAGACTTTCTTCTATCTAGTTTTGACAATACTCAAACTTTGAATAGAGATTTGGAGATGGGCCAGATGATGAACTGTCCTTGGAATCCAATGGAGACTACACAAGGAAAATTGGTTACCTAGACTTCTCCGACTTCAACAACAAAACCGCAGAGGGGAAGTTTGTTGACAACCTTTTAAACAATGTGTGGTATCAGCCAGAAGAAGTTTTCCCTGTTTTTGGACATCCTGAGACTAGGCAACACGTCTTTTGGGTTCCAGTTAACCAGCAATACTTTGCAGCTGCACAGAAACTAGAGGTATAATTATCATTATTTCTATATATTAAACATACATACATACATATATGTTGACGGTGGAATTTCGTCAACAGAATTACGTCGGATTACTTTTAGGTACCCTCCTAGATTACTAGCATGATAACGTTATATATATTTGATGTATTGTTGCTATAAGATTTTTGGTGGTATGATAAAAAATGTAAAAGTAATAATATCAACAAAAATAAGACACGCGAATTTTATAATGGTTTATTCTGTTAATCAAGAGCTACAATATATATATATATATATATAGCCGTGCATCTATATAGCCATATAATTAAATAACACACATTATCATATCATCTAGGGGCATTATTTATATTGAGTTACACAGTAGGGCACTAGCTTTGCCTACCAGCTTTAATTTATTCACCACCTCATACGGCTTTTTAGCTACAGAACATGTAATATATGGCCCCATATATATTTTTTAGGGGTGGTAACCAATGAAAATTGCTAGTATATTCTCACCAAAAAAAAAAACAAATAATAACAAAGAAAGAAATTGCTGTATATATATATATATATATATATGTATATGTATAAAATTGCTATAGATGTAATTGATATCTCTAGTGATATTATATACATCTATACAAACATCCAAATATGTGTGTATATTTTATTCCTCTACTATATTCCTATAGTTTTAATATGCATGTTAAATATTTTATTTTCATTTTTATAAACCGGAGATTCAAACCTTAACCTTAAGATATAATAAGACGTGAAATTATCGTTAGATTATACCTGCAGCCAGACAATAGAAACCACACAACTTTGCATGGCAATTTTTCACCGTTACATAGTATATATACTCGAACGATTTTCTATTTCGAATAACATTTTTTCTCACATGCAGAGTGTGAAGTTGAGAGGCTGCGTCAACACAACAACATGTCTACCAAGAAACCCTGTTGTGACAAGAGTGAAAAGAGGGGTTAGTGCCAATGTGTTTGTTGACAATAAGGCATACAGAGAATTCTTGAACTCCAAATTCAACGCAACTCCAATTGACATGGAGAGTGCTGCGGTAGCTCTAGTTTGTTTCCAGCAAAAAAAGCCTTTCATTACGATCCGGGCACTCTCCGACTTGGCCGGCGGCGGTTCCTCCCTCTCCAATGAAGCTTCCATCTTCGCCTCATTGGCTTCCCAAAATGCAGTTGATGTTGTAATCAGATTTGTTGCCTTGTTGTCTTCATAGGTTTCCCCACATAGAAATTAAGCAAAAGTTATTCAGTAATTTATCTTGTCATTTATACTTGGCACCCTCAATAATTTAGGATGAAAAAACGTCCCCTAATAATTTGGATCATTATATATATATATATATATATACACACGTGAGTGTGTGTGTATATTGATGTCATATCTTATATTTAGCATGCTCAGTATACATGCATCATGCATGATTGAGTGTAATCCAATTAGTGTGTTTGGTACTGGCCGTTTTAATATTAATTAATCTTTTGTAACACACCTTGTAGTAATAGAATTTCAAATCTCAAACAAACGAGGATGAGGATTAATGGTGAAAATGACCATCAAGAAATAAGCCAAAAAGGAGCACAAATTGTGCCATATGCCTAAGTGCTGCGTACATTAAAACAATCTAACAACTCACAAATGTATATTAATAATAAAACAAGACATTGTAGAAGTGAAGAACTACGTACAATCCAAAATTTTGAGATCTATATACACCCCATTTTTCAGTTATTGAATGATGAAGAAATAAAAGCGATCCAAGCCTTTGCAGGAAAAAGTTAACTATTAACTCTCACCTATATATATATATATATATATATATAATATATATATATGTATATAAAGCTGAGATTTGGACATTGTATACATAAAACATAGAATGCGTATAATGTATAGCATTATTCTAAAACAAGTGAAAAATTGTTTAAGGGAAGAGAGAGAAAAACTGTTTGTTACATCCATTAGTTCTGTTCTCCTTCAAATTCGAACCAAATATTATATTAATTGGTATGCACACAAGATAAGTACAAAGAGTTCTATCGTTTGATGATGCAAGTTTTACAATTTGAGTTTGAATGGAAAATTGGATGGGCAAAGAAAGATCAACAGGTAGCGAGAAAAGCTGTATATAAAAAGGACCCATTTGGAAGTACTAGGAATTAATATGACCTGTTAATGGAAGTGAACAGCCAAGCTTAAGCCAAAGCCGGCCAGGCCTGCCAATAGTTTGCTTTGAATGTTTACACGGGTCAAAGGGGGCTTTCATTTGCCGTAAAATTTCAAAGCCAGTGAAAATACCATTCTACCCCCTTGCATTTTCTTTGTGTCAAATTTTGACGTAGGATGGTGAAGCTGTAACCCCGGGTTCGAGACTTCGAGTTGAGAACTTAGTTGAAGAGTGAATTTACGTGATATCAAATACTATCGTAAATTATAAGAGAAAATATTATAGTAAAAAATGTTAGGTACGTTTGAAATTCATTTTAAAATAATTTTTTTTTGTATAAAAATATAAATGAAAACGTTTTCAATCTCAAATATAAATCATTTTTGAAAATGCGTTTGGTAGTTTTATTAAGAGATTATTTTCAGTATAAAAATATCTATTAATGTCTCTCTCTAACTCGAGAGAGGAAAAAACAGAAACAAAAAATGAAAAACGATTAAAAGTCGTTTTTCATTTCTTTCTCATTTTATACTAAACTAAAAAATCATTTTTATTTCCTTTTTTGTCTTTAATTGTGTCAAACGCCGTTTTTCTCCCGTTTTTTTTTTCTTTCTCAAAAAATATGAAAAACAAAAATAAAAACAACTCCAAACACAACTGTTATTTCATTTCCAACGTCGATATCAAAGGCCAATATAAACAAGTACAAGACACATGAAAGGATTTAGCTTTTTAACCAACGCTTAGCTAACATTTAGTTATGTGACCAAGATGAGTACTGAAATCACATTATGTTGTCTAGAAAGAAAAAAAAAAGTTCTCATTCCTTTCCAAAAGAACAAAATTGAAAAATATATATGTGCACAACAATAATAATGATAATAATAATAGTAATAATAATATTGACCTAGTAAAATACATGTGTGAGGAATATCTATGTTCAAAATTAGAATAATAATTAAAAAAAGAATTTAGGTCATAGTAGTAATTTTGAACTGCCGTCCCAGATGATTTTCGCCAGCAGAAAAAAACGGGTATTTCAGTTAATATCACCCAATTAAAACTAAACTAATAATTAATTAATCACCATTTTCCTATTTCCCTCCAAACTTCTTTCTCCCACCTCAAACACCCCATTACCAAAACCCCTTCTCAGTCTCACCACCACCACTCTTCACCACGGCGCCACCATCATGACAGCCGCCGCCACTGCCGCCACACCGTCTGAAATCCTCCACCACACCACCGCTTTCATCTCTGAAACCATCTCGAGTACCGACCTCCGTCGCCGCCTGCTCTCCGTCCTCCGCCGCAAAACAACCCCCTCAGCGGCCGACAACAAGGCCCTAAATCTCGTCGCGGACACACTCGAAAACGCAGTATCCACCGCCAGCCCCTCTGTCCGGTCCTCCTCCCTTCGCCTTGCTGAGAACCTCCTCCTCGCCCTCCCGGGAAGCTCCTTCTCCTCTCTCCTCCTCTCCCTCGCCTACGGCCTCTGGCGCCGCCCCGTTGACGCCGCTCTCCGCCTCCTCGATGTGTTCTGCCTCGATCCTTCATCGGCGCGATCGGATATCGCTCCGACGCTCTTCGAGGAGCTTTTCTTAGTCCATCTTTTACCGGTTCTCCGTTGCTTCAACGAACAAAGAACACAAATATTATCCAACTCTATGTCCCGGACCGACATTGATCACGACGATTACTCGATTTGCAACGATCCAGTGGCGGTGATTCCGAGCACGAAATCGCTGTCGAAGATGAGCGATGCGCAGATGTCGGAGCTGAAGGAGTTGGAGAGGGAGTACGAGGAGGTTCTTGACGAGAATTGCAGGGTTTTGGCTGGGTACTTGAAAGAGGTTTTGGAAAATATTAATCAAGATGGTCATGGCCAGAATCGGATGATTCATCCTCCGCCGTTGATATTGAAGAATTCAGCTGGGAAATTTAAAGTCTTTGATGGAAGATCAGATGAACTAGAAGAAGATGATCAGCAGATCAGGATGAGAACTGGGGAGATTGGGATATCCATAAACGGACGGTATAATGTAATATGTTTATTATTTTCTTAATTTCCTCATGAATGATAGTAAGAATAATAATAAAAACAATATAGCTTTCCAGGGAAAAAAAAAAAACCTAGAAGCAAGCAAAAATTTATATTAGTAATAATAACTTACTAGCAATAGTTCATTACATTCTAGTTTTTCACATTTTTCTTAAGATGAAAATAGAGTAAATGGAAATGATTGCACATTTTAAATTCAAAAGAAAAAAAATATAGAGAAAAAAAAAACTAAAATTACGTAAACCTTGGTAACTTTTTTTTTTTTTTTTTGGTTTCATCGTGTGCATATATTTTTCTAATAGATTGGAATCTGTCTTAAAAATAAAATTTAGAATCTGTATAATTCTTTTCTCATGAAGCTCCAGATTTGTTTTCTTTATTTGTAAAAATTGGAATCTGTGCTTTGTTTTCTTTATTATTTTTTTTTTGTTGGTTTGCTTCCTTCGGAATTTCTCCGTTAACAAATGAAATTAATTTAAATTGTTTTCGCCCTTTTTTCTTTTGTCTGTTTCTGCATATATATATATATATATATATATATATATATATTCTTTTTTTCTTTTCTGCTCTTTTTTTTTTTAATTTCTCACTTTAATGTCCTTTCTTTCCTTCAGCAGTCCGTGTGAACAGAATGCCTTTTTATTTTTAGTTATGTAAACATATTGCCTTTTTATTATCCAAATCCCATTGGTGACAATATTTTAAGTTTTTTTTGGCTAATCGGACAATATTACCTTGTAATATATGTACAAATTAGGTTGATCAAGTTGTTCGTCTGGCCAGCTAGCCTTTATTTATTTATTTATAATTTTGAAAGTTTCATATTGGACCACTTCATTAACCCTCTATGAAGAAATCTTGTCATATTGCAAAAACACTATTATCTTGAAACCCGATCATTTGGGCCTACTTAGATTTTTATTGACCAAATTATTGCACTTTTGTTATGTTAACCGTTAGGCATTTGAGAGGACTAATAGATAATGATGATACAAAGTTATGGATAGGTAGAATATCTTCATAGCAATTAGCAACACTTTATGGAATATCAGCTAATTCTAATCAAAATAATCATCAAAACGAATTTTGTACGTATAATTTCCACTATAAAAGGTGTTATAATTTCCACTATAAAAGGTGTTACCACATTTGGATATTAATATATCCATGGAGAAGATACTTGACTTATACTTTTTTGCTACTTAGACTTGACTTATACTTTTTTGCTAGTTAGACTTGACTTATACTTGTAAGCACTTTTAACATGTGATTAATCCTGTTGAATAGTTGAATTTGATTGGATGCTTATTTTACTTTTTAATTTTAATGCTTCAACTCCTGTAGATAGATGGTGACAATCCATTTTTTCCATATGGGTCTTCCATAATAAGGTGTTAATGATTTAAGTTTCACGTGATTATGGTAGTGGGGTTTTTGGAAATTTGGAGTTTTTATTTTTTATTTTTATTTTTTTGGCGACTGATCTGGGGTTTTTGTAATTATATCTACCGAAATTGACACAATGACATAGGCTGAGAGTCAACTTTGTAATTTCACACCATGTTTCAGTTCTATTCATACTTCGAATTTTGGAAAGGTCAATGAATTTGCCCTTCAATTTCTGCAGCCAATATGGAATGATAAAAAAGAAAGGTCAGTTGAAATCTTCAATAACAGTAGTTCCAGCGGCAAATCCAAGTCCTTACCATTTTATCCTCGAAGGGTCTCTCCTGAAACGTTTTCTGGCCAAAAATCCGCCTGGAGATTGACACCATCGCCAAATAGTACCGTTTCAGATTCTGAAATAGAGTCTTCAATGGATGATAATTCTGTAGATGGTTATTCCACAGAATCTGAAGCTGAAACTGAGGTAATTGATATCATCAAGGAAAAAAAAAACAAGACAAAACAAAAAAAGTTACCCAATATGGTCTGATTTACCTATGCAGTTGGTTTGTTTTTCTGGTGTTTTTGTTTTGTAGGAAAAGAACAGAAAAATGGCATTGTTTGAGCCTAGACAGAGACGAATCAAGAAACAAGAACAGCCCATTTATGCAGAATCCAGTTGGTATGTATCATTTTGTTAATCAATCACTAACTACTATCCTAATTTTAATGTTCAAATTCTAACTTCTTTTGTTGTTCTCTTGTTATCAGTTCTCCGGATCATATTGTAGCAAATTTTGATAGACCTATGCGTCCACAGGACTTTGTCTGTCCCATTACAAGCAATCTCTTCAATGACCCTGTGACTCTTGAGACGGGTCAGACATATGAGCGCCAGGCCATCCAGGAATGGCTTGACCGAGGAAACTCGACGTGCCCGATTACTCGCCAGAAGCTGGAAAGTACCCAGCTTCCCAAGACAAACTACGTGCTTAAAAGGCTCATTGGAAGTTGGCAAGAACAGAATCCAGGCGCAGCGCCGGTAAAGCAATCTGAGAATCTACAAGCCGAAGCTGACTCAACACTGAAGCCAGAGATGCCTTTAACCTCTCCTATTAGTGTTATAATCCAAGCCAGCATAGAGGGAACAGTTAGTGCGCTGAGATATGCAATTTCCAGTCTATGCACTTCAGAGATTCTCAAAGAGTCCGAGACTGCTGTCCTTCGAATCGAGCGGTTCTGGCAGGAAGCGGACATGGAAGAGCATATCCAAAATATGTTGTCAAAGCCTCCTGTAATCAATGGTTTTGTGGAGATACTTTTCAATTCCGTTGATCCCAAAGTACTCAAAGCCACAATCTTTCTTCTATCTGAGTTGGGATCAAGAGACAAGGCTGTGATCCAGACACTTACGCAGGTCGACTCCGATGTAGAATGCATTGCAACTTTATTCAGAAAGGGGTTGATTGAAGCTGTTGTGTTGATATATCTACTTAGAACATCAATTCTGAACTTGGTAGAAATGGACTTGGTGGAATCTCTATTAGCGGTGATCAAGAAGAAAGAGGAAGATTTGCTTAAAATGTGTGTGAAGTTAAAAACAGCTGCAGTGCTTTTGCTGGGACAGATTTTTCAGATGAGTGAAGATACCAAAGTCAGTTCTATTGTCAATGTAGTGATTCGCGAAAAAGCAATTGAAAGTGTTGTGGATAGTTTGGGGGCTGATTTGGTAGAAGAAAGAATTGCGGCACTAGAGATTCTAGTCAAGTGTATGCAAGAGGATGGAATGTGCAGGAACATTATTGCTGATACAGCTGAGTTGGCTCCTGTTTTGGAGTGCTTCATGGGCGCAAGTGATGGAGAAAAGTTCGAGATAGCTAGGTTTTTGTTCGAGTTGGTTAAGTTGAACAGGTAAGTGTTTCACCTTCATTTTCGTATGTTATTATCGAAATCTTCAGTGAATCTTGTGTGCTTGAGCTTGCGTGGTGATTTTTTTTTTCTTTTTTGTTTTTGCTTTGTTGTAGAAGGACATTTAATGAACAAATCCTTCACATTATAAAGAATGAAGGGCCTCTCAGTACAATGCACGCCCTTCTTGTTTATCTGCAAACAGCCCTGCATGACCAATGTCCTGTTGTGGCTGGCCTACTACTTCAACTTGACCTACTGGTTTGGAATTCTCTCTATTTCCTAATTAAATTCTATAGTTTTATATAGTTTTATGAACCTTATGATTAATCTTAACAGTGATAGTTACTTAGAAATATTGTCCTTGTTTGTAGACTGAGCCAAGAAAGATGAGTATATACCGCGAAGAGGCAATAGATACTCTCATAGAATGTCTTAGAGATACAGACTTCCCTGGAGCCCAAATAGCCGCAGCTGAGACAATTATGTTGTTGCCGGGGAGGTTCACTATCTCTGGAAAGTCCCTTACAAGGGCTTTCCTTCTTAAGCATGCTGGCATCGAAAAAAGCTACAACAACCTTGTACGGATGGATCAACTAAGCATTTCCGGCAGAGAAGCTGAAGACATTCTCGTGAGCTCTCTAGATTCTGCCGTGTTTTCACTTATTCGTTTCACTACTTTTCCTCATTTTATTTTACCTTACTTTTGGTCCTCTCTGAAGATTCTCATGCTAGTCGTTTCCTCATGGAGTAATCCTCCAGATACCAATGTGTTTACCATACTTATTAAGTTCTAAATACATGTATCTAATTCAGATATCAGTTACTAATTTTAGTTTAAAAAAAAAAAAAGTTCAATTTCCACATCATTCGCGTCGAAAATTTGGTAAACATATTGTTTCTCATAGTGGTTTTTCTTATTCAATTGACCACAACAGGAAGAAAAGAAGGCAGCTGACAATTGGGAAAGAAAAATGGCGTCTGTTTTGGTGTCACATGAGTTTGGTCTACTCTTTGAGGCTTTTTCAGAAGGACTGAAGAGCACAAATGCAGAACTATGTTCAAAGTGCTTCATATCAGCTACATGGCTTGTGGACATGCTCAAAGTACTCCCCGACACAGGAGTACGAGGCGCGGCCCGTGTCTGCTTGCTGAAACATTTCATATCTATATTCAAGTCCTCTAGATATACCGAAGATAGAGCCCTTTCTCTTCTTGCCTTGAGCAGCTTCATACAGGATCCTGGTAAAGCCAAAATCATTGGAAAACCAACTTACATTCGTTTACTAATATTTATTAGAGCTTATTGAACATTCGTATTCGGATCCATAAATACGAGTAATTTTATCGTTTATAATCATACATCAGCATTTTTCTAACACCTAAATTTGTGAATTTCAGAGGGGCTGAGAGATATAACTTCTTCTGTGAAGGATGTAATAAAGGGTCTGAGAGAACTCAAGAGAGCCACTCCCTTAGCATTTGAAATGCTGAAAGTTTTCTTTGAAGGCGAAGATTCAAGTGCTGTAAGTTTGTTACATTTTCTTTTTTATATCTTGCACTAGAAGGCGGGTTTTGGCACCGTGGTGGGAGTGCTTGCGTTTGCACCCAGGGTCCAAGGTTCGAATCCCGGAAACGGCCTCTCCTTCAGGGGGTAAGGCCGTGTACAAATGGAATTGAGCTTTCCCCCAAGCCTGTCATAGTACGGGAGCCTCTTTGGCACTGGGGTCCGCCTTTATCTTGTACCAGAAAAGATTAAGAGCCTTGACTAAATGCCTGTCTTTGGTGTCTTTTTTTTTTTTTTTTTTTTTCAACAGGAGTTGTGGAATCATAAACAATTAATTGAAGTAGATTGCAGTGAGAATGGAGAGGTTTTGTCTTTAGTTTGCTTTAAAGATAAACTCTTTTCTGGCCATGCAGATGGCACTATAAAGGTAACTCACCAGTCAAATTTTCTTTTGATACTCATATTATATACTTCTAATATCCAACTTGACTCGTGAAGTTAAACAATTTTGTGGTTTTAATATCACTATGAATAGGTATAATTACAAAGTATTGCCTTTTTTCAGGATAAATACAATGAGAAATGTATTTCACCTTCATTGTATACTAGAATTAATTCTTGTCAAGTTCAAGTCTGATGGGATTCTGTTACTTGATTCTGAAGGTATGGACGGGTAAAGGAAGCATCCTTCATCTCATCCAAGAAATTCGAGAACATACGAAGGCGGTCACAAGCTTAGCAGTTTTGGCAGCGGGGGAGAGACTTTACAGTGGCTCACTTGATAGGAGTGCCAGGGTACGCATTCCCTTCAATAGATTCTTCATCTTCAAGTAAATATTGTCTCCTTCATGCAGAGTTATTTTCGTTTCTTTGAAGAACAGATCTGGTCAATTTCGGACGACACAATCGATTGCATACAAGTACATGATATGAAGGATCAAGTTCAGAATTTAGTTGTTTCCAACAACATTTCTTGCTTCATTCCACATGGAGCTGGTCTAAAGGTATGCCCTAACAAAGAGCTCTTTTTGTTTTCTTTTTTTTTTTTTTTCCCCAAGCCTTATGAATAGTTATTTTCTTTTATTGCTAGGTTCATTCCTGGAATGGGGTATTCAAATTGCTGAATCCAGGAAAACATGTGAAGTGTTTGGCTCTAATGCATGGAAAATTATACTGTGGATGTCAAGATAGTAGTATTCAAGTATGAAAACTTCATTAGTTTTGATGTTGGATTGCTTTCAGGAAAAAAAAAAAAAAAAAAAAAAAATTGTTTCCCTAACTATATTGATGACCAAAGTTTTTGGAACTTTCAGGAGATTGATTTGGTCACAGAAACACTTAGTACAATTCAAAGCGGCTCTAGAAAATTGCTTGGGAAAGCAAGCCCTGTTCATGCCATACAAATTCATGATGGACTTATATATGCAGCCACTTCCTCCTTGGATGGAACAGCTGTTAAGGTATTTTAAGTGACGTTTGTTTTAAGAGTTCTGTCCGGTTTAGAATTATGGTTCTGTGTTTTTCTCTCATAAAAAATTTAAATTTTAAAAATCAGAATCATGAATCATGATTTTGAACCCATGAACCAAACGTCACATTAATCTTTTAAGTAGATCAAAATTTACTCTTATTTTAAACTTGTTCATAGAAAATATTGTTTTAGTGACAGTGTTCCTTTCCGCAAATCTCAGAAATCTAATATGATAAACGCATACTTCCTCTAACCTAATTTCCAAAACCAGCGCCCCCAATATAAGTCATGAATCATGATTTTAAACCCATAAACCAAACGTCACCTTAATCTTTTAAGTAGATCAAAATTTACTCTTATTTTAAACTTGTTCACCTTAATCTTTTAACCTAATTTCCAAAACCAGCGCCCTCAATATAAGTATAATTAGGACAACTGAAAATACATGAGCGAAAACTCTACGTCATGGTGATAATTAGACTCCCCACACTCAACAAAACTATCTATTGCTAATTATCCTAAAAGAGTTGCTCACCATTTCTCCTCATAAACAAAAGTAGTATAGGAAGTCAATAATCTGGTTATGGCTAGCCGTTCTCTCTATATTCCTAATTCTATTTGGACGGTCCCTGAAAACTTGTTCTAATTCTATGTGGCAATAAGATCATGAGCACATCAGATCACACCATGGTTGGATCATTAACTACCACATTGGAAGTCCGAGCCATGGCCATAAGCTCGGAGCTAGTTTACTTGGGATGCAAGAAAGGAGCAGTGGAAATTTGGGGTAGAGAGAAGCAGAATAGAATAGACACACTACAAATTGGCACAAATTGTAAAGTCATTTGCATGGCTCTTGATGCTAATGAAGAAGTTTTGGTTGTTGGAACTTCTGACGGCTTACTTCAGGTAACCTTATTTTTTCCCATTCAATATTTTGATTCTGGCAACAAAAACAAATGTAAATTTTATCTCTGTGGCTATGTATAAGTTGACATTCAAAAGGCTTTTTTTTTTCCTTATACTTTGCAGGCATGGGGACTGAGCTAGAAAAGGAGGAAATCGAAAATTTTGCCCGAGTTTTTATTTTTTATTTTTTTGGTTTTAAAAGAACAATTGAAGCTAGATTATTTTCATATTCTTTAGATTGTTTCTTTGTTTGAGAACAATAATTGAAATGTATATAGATTAAACCAAGAATGTTTATATTCCATACATAGGTCATTCGGTATGTATTATTAGAGATATTAAACGATAGTTTCTTTATTTAGATTATTGTACAGCTGGAATTAGATTTGTATAGCTAAGAATTTTAAATTCCCTAGATTATAGTTAGTTTCCAATTTCAAAATATTGTTTCTTGATTCTGTTTGTAACCTATTTATACTCTTCTTCTATCAATGGAAAAGCTGTGCATTATTTCCTCAATTCTAAAGTCTCATATGGTATCGAGCTGCTAGTCCTCCTTCTGAATTTTTTTTTTTTCTGCTCCACCATGGCAACCAACCAACCTCAGCTTCCCCTACCCACCGAATCCCACATTGTCGCCCTTCCCAATTCCGCCAATCCAACCCAACCTAACCTCTTCAACTCATCAATATGGCTAATCACAATATTGTCAAACTCACCTCCACCAATTATTTGTCATGGAAGCTTCAGATGGAAGCCAATCTCGTCGGCTATGACCTCTATAAATACATCGATGGTTCTCATCCATGTCCTCCGTCTACCGTTCGCACCAACAATGTAGACATAACCAACCCGGATTATCTCCCATGGGTTCGGCAAGACAAACTGTTGTTTGGCGCCCTTGTCGGATCCATCTCATCTCCCTTGATTCCGCTCATCCAACATGTTACCACCTCCCGCGAAGCATGGCTCACCCTTGCCAACACTTATGCTCACCCGTCTTGTGGACACATCAAGCAAATCAAGGACCAAATCAAGCGCTCGGTCAAAGGTTCTCAGTCGATCTCAAAATATATGCAATTTATCAAGTGCCGCTCCGATGAACTTGCCGCGCTTGGCAAACTGATGGATCATGAAGATCTTATCGAGAAGATTCTCGATGGTCTTGATGACGACTACAAGGCTCTTGTTGACGGTATTGAGGGCCGCGACACACCAATCTCTTTTGATGAGCTTCATGAGAAACTGATCAATCGAGAACTGTCCCTCAAACAGGGTCATTCCACCCCCTCCTTCGCACCGGTCACGGCCAACGCTGCATCCAACCGCCACAATAGAGGCTCACGGCCTCCCCTCTCTCGGCCTGCCTGGAGGCCCAACCCGCCATCCGCCGGCTTCTCTCCGCAACATACGGCCGGCCAAGGGTCCTCTCAGCGCCGTCCGCCACGCCCGTACCTCGGCAAGTGTCAGGGTTGTCGTGCTCAGGGCCACACGATCGCACAATGTCCACTATTTCAGTTGATCCCAGCCAACACTGCTTCCTCGTCTGCACTCCGGTCTTCGGTTCCTAATCTTGGCCGCTCTCCCTCCCCTCAGTGGCAACCGAAGGCACACATGGCCATTGCGTCCGCTTCAGACAACTCTACGTGGCTTCTTGACTCCAGGGCCTCTCATCACGTCACTGCTTATTTGAACAATCTATCGCTTCACGCTCCTTATGACGGCCCAGACGACATTGTTATTGGTGATGGTACTGGGTTACACATTTCTCACACTGGTTCTACTTCCTTAAAAACTCCCTCTCATTCCTTTAAATTACATGATGTTTTATGTGTGCCCAATATGAAATGGAATTTGATTTCTGTATCTCAATTTTACAAAACAAATAAAACATCCATTGAATTCTTACCCACTTCCTTTCATGTGAAGGATTTAATGACGGGGGCAACACTGCTATAGGGACGAACTAGAGATGGTGTGTATGAATGGCCGGTGTCATCCCCTCCTACCAAAGCCAAACTTGCCTTCTCCAGTGTCAAAGCTTCTCCTGCTGATTGGCACCACCGCTTAGGTCATCCGTCCGAGTCTATCCTTAGGCATATTGCGTCTACCTTTTCTTTAGCTTTTTCTTCATCTGTCTCTAAGAATTTTCATTGTAAAGACTGTTATTGCAATAAAAGTCATAAATTACCTTTTTTCCAATCCACTATTGTTTCTCATGCTCCGCTTCAAATCATTTTCTCTGATGTGTGGACTTCTCCTATTCATTCTGTTGATAATTTCAAATATTATGTCATCTTTGTGGATCATTACACTCATTACATCTGGTTGTACCCCCTTGCTCATAAATCGGATGTTTCCATTGTCTTTCCACGTTTCAAAGCTCTGGTTGAAAACTACTTTCAAACAAAAATTGTCACCATCTACTCTGACAATGGGGGGAATACACGGGTCTAAAATCATTCTTGTCCACAACTGGCATCTCTCATCTCACCACTCCTCCACACACACCCGAACATAATGGCTTTTCTGAGTGTCGCCACCGCCACATAGTTGAAACTGGTCTCGCTCTCCTATCCCGGGCTTCCTTACCTCTCTCCTTCTGGTCTTATGCTTTCCTCACCGCCACCTACCTTATCAATCATTTACCTACTCCCACCTTGGACATGATCTCTCCCTATCATAAGCTTTTTGCTTATCCTCCAAATTATCTCAAACTGCGAGTCTTTGGTTGTCTTTGCTACCCGTGGCTTCGTCCGTACTCTCCTCATAAATTGGCCCCTCGCTCCACTCCTTGTGTTTTTCTTGGCTACTCCCAGACCCAAAGTGCCTATCTGTGCTATGAACCCACCTCTAAGAAGATGTATACTTCCAGGCATGTACGTTTTGTTGAAACTGAATTTCCCATGAATGGTTTACTTCCCCATTTATCTCGTCCGGATGACTCTACCGGTTCCACTTGGCTCTCTATTCCTCTTCTTACTCCGGCTTCTAACACACCATCTCCGGCTCAACCTCGCAGGACGCCTTCATCAGGTACTCTCAATTCCCAGCTCGACCATTTCTTCGTTTCTGCCTTCTTGCCGCGGCAAAAATGCCACCTCGCCACAGCAAGCAACTTTGGACAGCTCAACTCTCCCTTCGCCTCCCTCTAGCCGCGACGAAGAAAATCCATCCCCAAACCAACCACTGCCCACCCCTCCCGGACCTCCCCCATTGTTACCCGTTCCCACAACCACATACATAAGCCAATCACCAAACTGAACCTCTCCGCTCTTCTTGCCAAAGAGGTATAACCCACATGTGTGACTCAGGCTATCAAGGATGACAAATGGCGTCAGGCCATGTCTGTGGAGTTCAATGCCCTTATTCGAAATGGCACTTGGGAGTTAGTTCCTCCGAATACGGCTCAGAACATTGTCGGTTGCAAGTGGATTTTTCGTATTAAACGTTTGCCTGATGGTTCTGTTGACAGGTACAAAGCTCGTCTGGTTGCCAAGGGTTTTCATCAGCGCCCCGGTGTTGACTACCATGAGACATTCAGCCCTGTTGTCAAACCCACAACTGTTCGTCTGGTGCTTTCTATTGCGATCAGCCGTGGCTGGTCTCTCCGTCAACTTGACGTCAATAATGCTTTTCTTCAGGGCACTCTCACTGAAGATGTCTACATGACACAACCACAGGGCTTCACTGATACTGACCACCCCCAGCATGTCTGCAAGTTGAGAAAAGCTATCTATGGCCTCAAGCAAGCACCTCGTGCTTGGTATAATGAGCTTCGTCAGTTTCTTCTCCACTCTGGCTTCATCAACTCTACTGCAGACACCTCTCTGTTTATCTTCAACAAAAACAACGTAACTCTTTATCTTCTTGTTTATGTTAATGATATTATTATCACAGGGAGTGATTCCATTGCAGTTCAGGGATTCATTACACTTCTAGCCAATCGGTTTTCGTTAAAGGATCTTGGTCCGTTAACCTACTTTCTTGGCGTAGAAGTTGTCCCTCACTCACAGGGCATCATTCTATCACAACGGAGATATATTGCTGATCTTCTTGCTCGTACCAAGATGACCGATGCCCGCCCGGTCGCCACACCTCTCGCCATGACGCCCACTCTTGTTATTCACTCGGGCTCTGCGCTATCGGATCCCACTGAATATCGTGCCATTGTCTGACTCGCTCGGACATTGCATATGTGGTTAACAAACTTTCTCAGTTCATGCATCGTCCAACCACTAATCACTGGAATGTTGCCAAACGTCTTCTCAGGTATCTTTGTGGAACCATTGATCAGGGTATTCTTCTCCATTGCCGCTCTACACTTGATCTTCATGCTTTCTCCGACGCTGACTGGGCCGGTAACAAAGATGACTTCACCTCCACTAGCGCATACATTGTTTATCTTGGTCGCACCCCCATCTCTTGGAGTTCCAAGAAACAACGCACGGTTGCTCGATCATCGACTGAAGCTGAATATCGATCTATTGCTGCTACAACTGCAAAATTGCGCTGGATCACTTCTCTTCTTGGTGAGCTTGGTTTCTCTTCGTCTCAGAAACCGGTCATCTACTGTGATAATGTGGGAGCCACAAATTTATGTTCTAATCCGGTGTTTCATTCCCGTATGAAACATGTTGCACTCGACTATCATTTCATTCATGAACAAGTTCAGACTGGACTTCTTCGAGTGATGCATGTCTCTTCTACAGATCAGTTGGCGGATGCTCTCACTAAACCTCTACCCCGCACACGCTTTCATCAGCTACTACTCAAGATTGGAGTCTTCTCTCGGAGCTCCAACTTGCGGGGGCATATTAGAGATATTAAACGCTAGTTTCTTTATTTAGATTATTGTACAGCTGGAATTAGATTTGTATAGCTAAGAATTTTAAATTCCCTAGATTATAGTTAGTTTCCAATTTCAAAATATTGTTTCTTGATTCTGTTTGTAACCTATTTAAACTCTTCTTCTATCAATGAAAAAGCTGTGCATTATTTCCTCAATTCTAAAGTCTCATATGTATCAATTACTTACTTTTTTAGCATTGTATATACATGCATAAACTGACTTCTAATAAATTCTTTTCTTAGTCCGATTTTAATGCTTCAAGATACGTTCATAACATCAACAATGGGCTTAGTAAAAATTTCCATGGAGGGAATGTCAGGTTTAGAGTAATTTTGAGGTTTTAGAGTTCAAAATTTTCATGACTCTTAACACCATTTTCCATGGAAATGTTAGTACGAATGTTATTTTTTGCCGGGAGAAAAAATACGTGTTATATTTGATAAAAAAAAAATTATAAAATAACATATTTGAGATGTTCAATGTTGTTTTGTATACTGCAAAGTGTTATTTCAAATACGATAAACATCTTTATTTTAAATTTTCAAAACTTAATAAACAACGGTAACGTATAAACAACAAATTTATTAAAAATAAGCTCATAAATTAGGCAACGACTTCTGTAAAGTGACATTTGTTATATGTGCATAGATTTTTTTATTTTTTTTAAAGGAAGATAAAATGTATTTTGGCTGGCCATGTGCATCAAGGAATGGGCAGAATTCATCGAAACAATTGACCATCTATCCAAAGGAAAAAATAAACGAGCAAAAGAGGAAGAATAATATTTTGTTTACTTTAAAGCACATTAACAATTTGAAAGTCAACACATCGTACAGGCCACAGTAACATGCATATTGGGCAGTCCGAAAAGCGTATTAATAGTTATTAATTAATTACTGAATATTTAATTATTTAATAAATAGTAATTAAAATAAATAATCAACTTATTTACTATAGCAATGCAAAAAATTAAAAATGAAAAACCACTCTTAAGTGTTTTTCCTTTTTTTTTTTACAAAAAAAAAAAAAAAAAAGTCGTTTTCGAACTATTTGAGTCATTTTAGAAAATACGTAAACATACCAATTTAGATTTGATTCCAAAACAGCTACCTTGAAAAAGGGGAAAAGCAGTTATAAAAAATATAACCAAAGGATTCCTTATACCATCTCCAATGCAGTATTATTTACTAATACTAAATTTTGGTATTTAAGCTAAGAAATACTCTTTAATGAATACTATTTTCTGCGCTAAATTTGACAAATACGCTTTTGTGACTAGTTTACCACAAAGTATACGAGATACAATTTATAGAATGTAATTGTTATTGGTAGATATATTAAATGTTCATGTAATGATCACCATAACGTTGTTCTTTTAGAATTATTATAATACTAAAAGTTTACTTT